GGGCCTGTGGGAGCGCATGTGTGTGTTGCTGTCGTCCATCGGTGCTTTCTGAATCGCACTGACCGAGGGGCCTGCAGTCTTTCTCAGCACGCTGATGCCACACTTACTCCTCTTTCTAATGTTTTTTATCTTCACAGGGAGTCCGTTAAATGACAAAAAAAAGATTATATATATATATATATGTGTGTGTATATATATATATATATAATTAATTTAAGCTTTGTGATCCTTTCCGTCCGTCCTCCTGAGCAGGAGTGTTACTGTAAATGTGTTTTCTCGTCTCTTTGGGTGTGTGGGGTTTTTTTTGGTTTGTTTACTACCGTCCATAATGGTAATGGTACCAAAGCAGCACATCTCTGAACCACACCTCCTCACGTATTGGCACTGACGAGTATCTTTGGTTTATTAGTGTTGGTAGCACGTGCAGAAGTCGCTCTGTCGTTGATGTGAGCCTGTGAAGTGAACGCCTATCTACTAACATGCCTAAAGAGACATGCTACAGCTCTTTAAACCTTTAAAAAAAACAACAAAAAAATAAACTAACTCCTTTTGATTCTTCTGAGGCTGAAGAAAAAAGTCCCTTCCCCTCATCTTACACCAGCATCCTCATCTTAACGTCCCGACCTTCGTTCTCCACAGTGTTTCAGCATGCACGCTCGCAAAGAGGAAGCTGGTTATTTTCAGAAGTGGATTCTTTGGGGCGAGCGATGAGCGTCGCCCGGCAGCAGGATGCAGGAATATAGTGTAGAATATGCACACCAGTACATGTAGCACTCCGCCCTCATCTCTCATCAGGACAAGCTGTGAAATTCTTTAAAAGACAAGACAAAATGTATATCCTCATTCACGTTTCCTAAACGTGTCCAGTGGGCTGGATTGTATATTTTTGATCATAAAGCCAGCGAGCACCGATGGCGGTGAAGAGAGCATCAGATGGGAATGCGGTCACATGACTCCACAGCAGCTAGTTCAGCTGTGAAACCTTAAGTGTTTTCTTCCTGTAGATAGTTTCAGTTGATTAACACCTGTCTTTCTTCCACTTCAACTACACAGTGATGGACACTTAATGAGTGCCAGCAGCACACTGTAAAGGAAAGCAGTGAACCTTATAAAACTGAGAAAGCAAAAATCAAATCCAGAGTAAGAATTTTGTCCTGACTGAAGACAGAATCATGCTTGTGATTAAAATACGATTAACAGAACAACCCAGTTTCAGCTGTTCACAAAAACTGTGTCAAACGTTAGAATGAACCGTTAGAAGTTAAACACTTTGTAAAGTAAAATAAAATTAACTTTTCCCTTAAAATAACAGTTGGGAGTTGATATCCTGTGCTTTCACGTTTTTTCGCTCAACGTGTGGGACGTGTTCGAGGTTGATTGAATTTATTTATTTAAAAGGGACAGTGCAGTTAAACATAGTTCAGGTGCAAGACATGAGACTGATGTACCGCACAC